TTTTGGCTGAAAAATCAAAATTTAATAAGCTGTGAAGTTGCACAAAAATTGGTAGTCAGTATATTCATAGAATATATATTGTTGAACAAAGCAAATAGATGCTTAACAAACTGATATTAGTACATAAATTAAACTACATTTTTTATTAAATTGAAGTAGCCGGAATGTCTAAAACTAAACAGTAGAACTTCGAAAAATCATTTGATAGCGTGGACAAAACAACACTATGGAAACTTCTTCGATACTACGGCGTGCCTCAGAAGATAGTCAATATCATACGGAATTCCTACGATGGATTAAACTGCGAAATTGTTTATAGAAGACAGGTCACAGACTCTTTCGATGTAAAGACCGGTGTCAGGGAAGGTTGCTGACTCTTACCCTTTCTCGTTCTCCTGGTGATCGACTTGATCATGAAGACATCAAAATCTGAAGGGCACCATGGAATACAGTGGACAGATAGGATGCAATTGGAAGATCTAGACTTTGCAGATGATCTAGCCCTCCGATCGCAAACGCAGCAAAAACTGTAGGAGAAGTCGACCAGTGTAGCAGCAGCCCCAGCAGCAATAGGTCTCAACATACACAAAGGGAATAGCAAGATTCTTCGATACACCACAGCATGCACCAATCCAATCACAATTGACGGAGAAAATTTGGAAGATGTAAAAACCTTTACATATTTGGGCAGTATCATTGATGAACATGTTGGAACTGATACAGACGTGAAAGCGCGGATCGTTAAAGCAAGATCAGTACATCTACAACTGAAGAACATCTGGAAATCAAAGCAACTGTCAACCAACACCAAGGTCACGATTTTCCATACAAATGTCAAGACAGTTCTATTGTATGGGGCGGAAACCTGGAGAACTACGAAAGCCATCATCCAAAAGATACTAGTGTTTATTAAGAGTTATCTACGTAAAATACTTCGGATCCGTTGGCCGTACACTATTAGCAACAACCTACTGTTGGGGAGAACAAACCAGATCCCAGCGGACCAAGAAATCAGGAAGAAGCGCTGGAAGTGGATAGGACACAGATTGAGGAAAGCACCCAACTGCGTCACAAGACAAGCCCTCACATGGAATCCTCAAGGCCAAAGGAGGAGAGGAAGACCAAATAACACATTACTCCGATAAATGGAAATAGACATGATAAAAATGAACAAGAATTGGATGGAACTAGAAAAGAAGGCAGAGTAGGACAGAGTGGGTTGAAGAATGCTGGTCGGCCGCCTATGCTCTACTAAGAGTAACGGGTGTAAGTAAGTAAGTTAAACAGTAGAAATTACTTACATTTACATGAATAAACTGTTTCATATGACAACATTTTGGTTTATGTATCTTTTTTAAAAATATAATAAGCCACTGAAAACTTCTCCCTTAGAGGCATAATATCGAATTACTTGCATTGATCACTAGTACATTAACTATTTTGTTTGCGTTTCAACTATCTGAATTGTTCTGCTGTCAAAAGTAATTGATATTAAAATTGAATTAAAGGAGGTTAGTTGTTTATTAGATTTACATTAGTCTTTTCTATTTTAAATTCATTTTTGATTATGAAATAACATTTGCAAGACACTACGATCGTATGAACTAGTACGTTTCTTGCTTTCTATCAATTTCGATTGTTGTCTGAATATAGAGATGCCATAATTCACTGAAATATTTATTTTCTTTTACTTTTACCTATGCTTCAAACTATCATTTTGGCAACGATTATTATACTATAGACGTAAGGTACAATATTTAAATAAACATGGACCTATTGTATTATATCACAATCCTCGAAGTTCAGCACAGTCCAATTATGGTAGTTCATGTCCACTCAATCAACATTTCATGAATATTACATACGAAGATACATCTAATATTCCTCCATTAATTAAAAAATCATCAAATGCTGCTTACAGCAAACAATTAGAACCAAGTACAATACCTGACGAATATGATGAATGTGATCCACTAGGCATATACTCTAGTACAGGAATATATGAAACTGGATTTCCACCAGATGAGAATACAGAAGGTATTGATAATAAAAATAATCCATTAACAACAACAGGAAGAATATCAGATCCTTTTGATGAAAATGCTCCTCCTTTACCTGATCGATCGGAAACATATGGTTCTCCATCAATTCAAATGGTTTATGAGTTCAATCAATCCATGGATAAGAAAAGATCACAATCACCGTCAAACTTAAGTACATTTACAAATAATTTTAATGACTCAACTACATATCGATCTATTATGAAACGTGACCACATAACAAATGTTTCAGCAATTAATTCACCTGTTTTTGAAAATCGACCAAAGATTTATAGACGAACCTCAAGTGTTTGTGACGCATAAATAATTTATTTTCAGCTTTTAAAATCTACTCATATGGATGGATATTTAATATGACTGACTAACAGCTGAACTTGACAAAATGATTCGTCTCCCTTTTATTCTTCAAAACCATAACAATAAAGTCTTAACAATCAATATTTTGTAATTTTAAAAGTGTTTCCCAATTCCCCTTGTTTTATCATTTTTAATGGTTTTGTACTGATTTATCGTTTTTAAATCATAATGATTATTTTATAAATAAATAAACTTGTTTTTAAACCATAATGTTTTAACAAAGTTGATAATTAGGAGATATGGTTAAGGAAGGTTGAAAGGTTGGAAAAAAACGTTTCTGCACGCAAAGTTCAGACTTGAGTTTGTGGATTGCCAATGTTTCTTCAGTGCATAAAATATTGATTTGAACCACCTTCAATCCAGTTCCTTTGACATTGTAGATTACCTCAAATAAGGAGTCCTTTGGATATATATATATATATATAGCTATATCTTTAGAATTATTTCAATACCTTAACGGTTGAACAAGCAATATTCAGTTTCATCATTTTAATCTAAGTGAGACGTATGAAGTAGTTTGAAGTAGAAACTATAATCAATTACAATGAATACTTAAAACACTTTGAATGTTCATTATCTTGTTATTTATAAACTGGATATGTTTATTCGATTTGTATTTTAACTGTTAAGAAATGCTGAAATGTTTCAATATGATACCATCATACTTCGTACAATCTTAATGTAAATTCTGAAACCAGTTTTCATATGATAATTTATTAGTAAGAATTAATTCCAAATTTACTCAGATCAAACATCGCTTAATTGAGAACCTACGACTCATTAGAATCTAAGGGAATCGCGTTACCAATAGACCGATTTTAATGCTAAAATATTATAAATGCAGTCATTTATTATTCTTAGAAATTATTCAACTTGAGGCCAACGTTTTTCATCATGGGCAGTCATCAATAGAATAAAAATTACAATCAAGGGGTGATGAAAAGTTTTATTTTAGTTTGTGACTCTTCATTATTCAGTACCTACGACTAGAAACGTAATCCAAACATAACACTTTCAGGGCTTGTCATTCATATGATGCTTCTAGATTACCTAATTGAAATCTAGTGGTCCATATTTTGAAATTGAGGTACGAAAACAACCTAAAGCTCCTACTGATACTCACCTCACTGATATGGTAATATAATCTTACACTACGTGGCTGCACAATGTTCCTCAAGGCACAGTCGGACGACAGTTGTTTTTGATGCTCGATTTGCGCCTAGTTTTTGTTGGAATATCAGTAGGTGGTTGTGAAAATATCGAACTTTATTGAGATTATAAACCGATTTAATTTAGTCAACTATTGAAAATCTATAAGCAGTAAATAAACATTTCTTCCTAGCATGGGACTACTCAGAACTGAGTGTTCACAATGTCGATAGCAGGAATCGAATCCAAGCCTTTGGGTTTCGCATGTGAGCACTTGAACACTAGACCATTGATGTGAGATCTAATGGTGTGGTCGTCTAAATTATATCAGTCTATAACATCTCGCAACCATTATCCACTGTCTTCAGTAAGTTCTTTCCTAACACTCGACATAATTGAACCCTATGCATATTTTATATGATCATACTACTAAAATATACTGATAAATTGATGACAAGAATATTTTCAAATATATCTGCTTATATAAATCTAAACTAGAAAGTTCATAACTCACGGAATCCCCTCCTATCCCCCACCCCACCCCCAATTCAAGGATACAAAAGTAAAACACAACATTTATAGAATAGATTTTCAAATTCATAAGATTACATTTAGAACTAGTATTGATTTAATAATTTCTATGGAAAATAATCAAACATACTATTCACAACATAGAAACAAAAAAGAGAAAAAAAGGGAATTATTTACATTGGTTTTTATGTTGAACTGTAGGCAACCTAGAAACAAAGTTTAAGAAGTGTTCATATTTACAAATATATATATCTATAAAGTATATATTCAATGTTACAATAACGGAATGCAAGTTCATTCAATGAAAGAAAAAAGAAGCAGAAGTTAATCATTATGATTATCACATTGTATAAGACGAAGATAAGATTAAGATATCAATTAGAAAATTACAAAGCAATAAACATCTTAAATGTCATTCCATTTTTAAAACAAAATTATTTTTACCATTAAGTCAACTTACCGAATAAATTGAAACATTCTTAAAAAGGAAATTACAGTTACAATCGATTTTCTCAATGTTACACGACAGCAGTATTAAATAACATATACAAAGGATACATATATATATGGAAATTCCAGTGAAAGAGATCTATATTATCATGAAAGTTGTATCCACAATATTAGAGCATTAAACATTGACAGTCTTTTTCTTCTTCTCATTCTTTCTATGAGCAAAGTTTTTTTTTCTACTAATCTTCTCTTTATCCTAATTCCATCCTAAACACATTTATCTAATCACCAACACATACACGTTTTTCTTTCTCCCATGTGTATGGGTATAGTTTTTCCATATTAAAAAAATATCCCAAATGACATAAGAAGTCGAATGAAAAAATAAGAAAAAAAATGCGTTCATCAGAGAGCGAAATAAATTTGATCGAAAAATTCAACTATATATACGTAGTCCACCTTATTGGTTTGGAGTTTTTCACGTTTGGTTCCGGTCATTATATTTACTTAGTTTCATCATTGTTCAAGGATAAATATAATATTGAGCAAAACAAAGGAGTTTTGTTTTGTTTTAGTCCAACTCTGTTGTGTGAATAGTGGAAGTGTGTGGAGTACGGTATCACTCACGTCAAAAGCTGTGAATTGATACTTTTTTTTCAAAATAGAGTTGCTTCCGTGTTTTGCTTAACATTTCGAGTATTTCTTTAGTACAGATAATGAAGTTTGTATATTATAATACATAGTTTTATACATCATGAATGTTGACTGCGTGTTTGGCAAACAGTAGGTGAACAAGATGGATTGTTCACAGATGTACAAGGAGGGTAGATGGTGGTGTAATAAATCTGAATAAAAAGATGAAACAATGTCAGATGATTAAAATTAAAGCAATAAAGTCATTTTGTTTATAATGAATTTAAATTAAATAGAGGTAAATTAAATGATACGACTATAACCACCAATTCCTTACTTATGAATAGACTAATATAAATTTGAAGAAACCACTTAATTGAGATTCTCACTCGACAGAATTTTAGCGAATAATTTATGTTTCAGACTGATAATTTCCGCGGAATCATTGAATACCATGGAGTATTTGCAGCTTCTTCGTCTCAGTTTGAAACTCCAAAACAATAGGCACACATTTGCGGTTCATATACGAAATAGTACTCACAATTCACAGAGCATTAGGTTATTCAGTACTTCCTAATTCAGTCAATTTTAGGCACAATGAAACAATTATTTAATGTCTCAAGAAGATAAATATAACACTATGGTATTCAATGTCGTTCTGTAATGAAAATTATATTCAAGTAGGGATTGTCCATATTTCAATAAACATGCTCTGTATAAGTTATTCTCTGATATAAAATGTCATCAAAATTTCATTTTTCACAAGAATAAGGGTGTTATGGTTCGTTATTGCTTGAATGCTATTACTGATGCGTCTTACTCGAACGGAACGAAGGATCAATGATTCAGTGACTCGATAGCTATTCCGGTTCGTTGTCCCAGGCTCTGCTAACTCGATCAAGCAGTCTGGGTAAGGTGTAAAAAGTGTATTCTACAGACAAACAGCAGATAACAAGTCAGGTCAAGCACACAATCGAGCGTATTTATACAATTATTTACAATCGATATTGTCATGGAAAATTTTTAAACATTATTCAGTGAGTTCATTAATTGACCGATATTTAACATTTGATCGATAGTTCATCAATTGACCTATTTGCACATCTAATCGATAGGTTCATCAACTGACTGCCATTCAAACATTTAATACATAAGTTGATCGATAAGATAAAATTTAAAAATATGAGTTTTGAGGATCTATCGTCCCCAACAAAGTTTCAAATGACTGGAACTAGAAAGGATGAGTAAGTTGCCGTGAAACAAATATCATAAAATGCCCTTGAATCAAAGATTATATTAACCTAAGAAGAGGATTAAGTTCCATTGATAAGTATAATATACTATATTGAAAAAAACAATACTGCATCAAACCTTCTCCAAACCATCTGATATAATTGTATAGTAACTTCTAAGTACTATTTTCGTCACCGTGATTATATGAATAAGGTATTCGTATATGATTTGTCTTACTAATAATATTTAAACTTTGTATGTGATCTTGTTACTGTGTGAAGCTTTTTAATGTTTCGGTGAAGATCTGTAATCAATAACAGGATATTATTGATCAACATGTGTTAATCTTACATTGATTACAATTAAACTGAATTCAAACATACCATAGTTTATTATTATATCTCATCTATGGTATTAACAAACTACAGTCTACCTAAGGAGTTTAATTATGCTATATATATATATATATATATATATATATATATATATATATATATATATATATATTCTGTCTACCAGTGAAGAGGTTCGAAATATTTTAAAAGGTATGTAATTGAATCGCATGTAATTTGTGCACAAGGTTTCATTCACATTTTTTATGACAACATCATGATAAAACAATTAGCCGCTAAACGAAATGGATAATATTTCAACTACATAGGCTGTAGAAGGCAACTAACTATACTGCATATCGTTTACACGTCAAATGTAAGTGAATGCATCAGCTAATAACTATGAGTTGCTGACAATTGTATTGTTGTTATTAACATAATCTCTTTGGGACCCAAAAATTTAATAGCTTTCCAGGAAAAAGGAATTAGGTTGTTATAATTTCTCTTATTACGACCCAGCTATTCCTAATGATTAATATTCTTGGACACCGATCCAGATGACAAGTCCCCAAATCAGAACACGGTTTAACAGGAAAGTAATTATACTCCAAATAACAAGGGTAGATAGAAGTAGGAATTCCGATAAGACAAATGCTAGTATATTTATAGTTTTACATAAGATTCTAGATTCTTCCCCAAATATCCACTAGCGCTGATTGGGTAAGAATTAGCCAATCAGCGTGCCCCAACACATTCCTGCATGGAACTTGCTTTAATCTAATCTATATTCCAATAACATATGCTTATCCACGGTAAATGTTTACATATCATTTAGACAAACAGCCATTCCAAATTTCAATTTTTACTGGTAAAATTGCAATAAACATTATATACCTTATTCATATAATCACGGTGACGAAAATAGTACTTAGAAGTTACTATACAATTATATCAGATGGTTTGGAGAAGGTTTGATGCAGTATTGTTTTTTTCAATATAGTATATTATACTTATCAATGGAACTTAATCCTCTTCTTAGGTTAATATAATCTTTGATTCAAGGGCATTTTATGATATTTGTTTCACGGCAACTTACTCATCCTTTCTAGTTCCAGTCATTTGAAACTCTTATTCTTGTGAAAATGAATTGCAATTCATTATAATCTGCCTTTATAGTAAATAAATATAAAAACAGAACCCTCGCTTTTCACATTAACTTTTGACATTAATCCTGAAAATATATTCAAACTGAATAAAATACTTTTCCAGGATTTTTTTTCATCTCACCTTACGTACTGGAATTAGTATTATTATACGTCCCAATATTGAAATCATATGCAAACAGACTAATAATCCACCCATAGCCATCATTACTGTTAAACTAGTTAATAATAAACGATATATAGCATTAATTAAAGTTGACAAACTTCCAATTGATGTAGTAAGTTGTTCATAGTTGAAATCTAATTGATTTCCATCAACTTGACTGTTTGATTCTGTTTGATTATTATTTGAGGTAATTTGTTCATTAGTTTTTTTATTGTTCATTTGATGTGATTGTTCATTTAAACTAGTCATTCTTAATAAACGTGATAGATGACCTTTAAAAGAAAAAAGGTGAAATTAAGAATCTGACTATTAAAACATAAGAATTTAATCTAAAAAAATCAGTTGCTTAAATGAGATAAATAAAGCTAAACGCATGTAAATATCATACAGTTTCCTGCTTACTGATGCAGATATAAGATGGAATGTGGACTGTAAGAATGTGATATCTAGGACAGTAGTTGTAGATATTGTTGTATGTGGGTACAGAGCTGTATCGTGTTCTTTAACGTATATTTCTAACAGTTTTTTTCTTTAACACGTCACTTTAGTGGTAATATTTACGTAATCTAAATGATGACCTGATCTCATCTAGACTACTATAGGAAATCAGAGATTACCAAATGTCTGTATTATCCTAGAACAAAACTCCTCAGCAGTGTATATTCACGGCTTCATTACAGAAAACAGAAACCATAACAACAAAGTTATCTTCTTATTCCAATCAGTTTATGATATTGCGCAACATAATATTTCTAATTGAACACAATAAGAAGTAAAACGTGCTTAGAGAGTTTAAAAGGAAAAGTAACATTTTTTTGAAGATATATAGAGAGTTATGTACTGAACTACAGATATTCCATATAGAAAACGCTGATTCTGCTTTTTGATTCAAAACTACTTCACGCTTTGATAAAAGTGTTACTGTTAATATGTTTAAAAAAGAAACTGGCTCTAACAGTAATGAACAAAGTTCGCTAGTCATTGATTGATTTTCTGTAGTCTATCAGTTACAACAGAAGATTTTGCTCATGTATGTCTGCATCAAGTTAACCTCTGATTATGACTGAATATCTACCTGAATTTTTAACACCTATTAACAGTCAAGTTATTTAAATCTATCTTTTTTACACTTTTGAAAGGATGTTGTTGGATCAACTTTAATATATACGAGCTAAACGCACATAATTCAGTGAAAATTCTTTGAAATTACTTGAATAAAGAAGATTGTAAACGAAAATCTCATATGTATAAGATTCAATGGTGAATAATTAATAAAAGTTTCCTACTTTTTCATATTCAATCCTGATGTGCTATCAGCTTATAATGTGAACCTTTAAAAAGTTATTTATTTTCGAAATTAAGTAATTCTACATGAGAGCTACTTATGTATTCATGCATTATCTAGCAATATTACTCACTTTCAGCATAAGTAGCAGGAACAACTGGGGAGAAATGACATACTGGAGTTTTTAGTGTATGTTTAATTTGTTTATTTGTTAGCGGATCCAACTTCCAGTTAGACAAAATCAATAATGCTTGTTCAGTAAACTGAAAATTAGGACCAATTAGTTCACAAGCTGAAAATGTTGAATTTGTATCCATTATCTCTGGTACATGGATTCTCACAGCATGTTGATCTAAGACATAATAATGATTTACCAATCCTTTTTGCAGTAAACATAATTCTGTGATAAACTGTAATTGTATCTGTGTCTGAAATTGAATTGAAAACAGATTATGTATGCATTAATTAGCTGCAAAAAACAAACATTTATTAGAAATTTTACTATAGGTAACATGAAAATAGTTTACATCACGAATTTATTTTAACTTTGAGTCGATTGATAGTTACAGGTCAGTAAGCAACTTTAGACACAGTATGAAAAGTCTTATCAGTGAGCACTCCTCAAGGATGAAACTCTAATGCGTTTATCCTCTCTACGAGATAAATTGATCATTAGAACACTGAGTTAGCGCCCAGTAACCTGCACTTCCAACTTCACTTAATTCATTAATTTTTTTAACTGGAACAGATTTCAGTACTATTCGAAATAACTCACAGCTTGAAAAAAATAATTTTCTTTCATAAAAATATGTTTTTTGCATGTTATTAGTTTAAACGCGCATGGGAAGTTAAGTAGTTCAGTGAATAACTATGATCGTATAGACCAACATTTTTAGTTTTGAAAATAAACTCATTCAAAAAATATTCTATTAAATGAAGCACGTGGTTACGATGTATTTATCATCTTTTTCTCAATATTTTAATTTTAATTAAATTTTTCATACATCACATTGCTAAATGTTTACGTTAGTTTCTAACCACAAGTATTTCTTTAATTACTTCATATTCCATTTCAAAAGATCATTGGTTGTAATCCATGAAGTCAGAACCTAATGATATAAAATGTATTCATATTATTCTAATAATTGAATTCATGAATCAATTGAAGCTAGACCACCATTGCTAAAAACCTGGAAGCTCTGGATGGCCGTTTCGTCCCAGTACGGAACCCCTCAGAAGTGCGCATCCACGATCCCGCCCGTGGGAATCGAACCCAGGACCTATCAGTCTTGCGCGGGAACGCTTAAACTTTAGATCACTGAGCCGGCATCCACCGTTGTTAATGTCTAACTTCAACCAATCCACGAAATTGCGCCACCACCCACCATTGATTTATAGGTCATGTGTTCGTAACTTGCGGAGAGCAGGATCGTGAATGTGCATTGCTGAGGAGTTCCACAGTAGGACGAAAAAGCCGTTCAGTGCTTTCAGGTCTTCTATGGTGGTCAAGCTTCAACTGACTCATGAGTTCAACTACAAAATTACTAGAATCTCCACAAAACCCCTTCTGATTCTTTATAATTTAGTTTGTTTTTAGCTGATATGATTTGGAAAAATAAATCATTTCATATTATTCTTGAAAGATCGTTATTCTTGTCACGTTGTATTCAACCATTAAAGGTGAAAAATAACTTTTTTTTCATTTTTTAATTCATTCATATTGGTTGCTTGAGCAAGCCAGTAGGTATCTGGACTCAGTAGACAAGTAGATAGCGCGATGGTGTCTCTAGATAACAGTACTGGGTTCGAGTCTTAAAGTGAACATCAACTTTGAGGTGGAGTTAAATCCATCTGATGTAACCGAAATAGGAAAAAACGCATCATGGATTTCACCACTAGACACCATCCACCTCTGTTTATGATTTTTATTCTTTGCTATTTATTTTAAACCAAGCTCAATCATAGGATACCAGTCAACATGGTCATGAAATATCAACTCTCAGATCGATCAAGTTAATAAACATTGATTATCGTTCAAGATAGACATTGTCTCTTGTTTGCGAATGCGTAAAGAACTTACGGTATTATGAATCATTTGAACTTCTTGTTCATTACCTTAGTTAAGGTCACCATATTTGGTTAGAATAAGAAATTGAAAATTAAGTGTCCCTGTAAACAAAATAACTTATTTGAACAAAAGAAAAGTAAACGAAGACTTTTCTTGTAAATACTCTAATGGTCTGCAATTTTGAGGTAATGTGTATACTGGTCATTTGATTAAGTTTAACCGTAAATAAATAATGTAAATTATAAATGAAGTTATTAACGAACACTATAAATCGATCATATTTAGGGAAGTAGAGCATTTAAGATTTAGTACTGCTTTACTGTTGATTCTTTTAAAGGACAGGTAGTATAATAGTTGAGAAACTACAAACTTCTGTACTCTTCACTGTTTCGTACAAAAAACATAACTATTGAAGAACAGTACCTTTATACATTTGATTGGGAATATTCTCAAGACATCTTATTTAATTTGGATCATAGGCATATTTTATGGCTTTTCCACTTATTTTTAAGACACATACAGGATGTTGTTTCCCAAGTTGAAGCCATGATTCCTCATAAAAGTAGGTAGTATATTCGTTACGAACAATGAAAAGTGCATATGATTTGTTTTTTTTCAAAAAGCGACTCTAGTTTCGTTGACTTTAGACAGTCTGAAAATAGTAGTCCTTTAGTTTCCATTATGTTTTGCGCCTACAGTTATTTTGTAGAGCTTTACAAATTCATATGGAAAATGAAAGCTAATCATCCAGGGTGGGAGCTTGATTAATTACGTTACCCAAGAACAGCATATGAATCAAATATTAAATTCATTATTAAGTATAAAATTTAAATTTTAGTCAGTAATGAAGTTTTTCTAAAGTTCCGAATGATCTTTATGTTATCGGAGCTAGACTATATTTTATGGACGAGTCATTCAGAAGCGTTTGAGGGATTTCAAGGTCATGGCGCTAACTTCAGTACTCAATGATAACGTATTATCGGTTCACGGAGGATTTTATAAAAAACGTGATAATTGAGCGGCTATAACAAATAAGACGACGAGACTGTAATTTGTGGACGAATCAATCAGGTATAAGTTAACGGATATTGGATTTTGGCGCAAAAGTCTTCCATCCATTTGGCTAAATGGTTTTGGCATCATAGCTGATGTTAGTTCGTGATGAAAACCCTATATATAATTCTTAACTAAAGCAAATTATGACAAATATTGCGAACTGCATAATAAAAGCTCACGTAACGCTGCAGCCAGGTACTACAATATATACGGCTGATTGGAGAGCGTACAAACTCCCATATAAGCTTGGTTATGTCGTTATCCACAAGTGGTATTTTGTGTACTCAACAACTGGAGTGCACACAAACAATATTGAAACTATTTGGTCGAGGCTGAAGATTTTTGCGACCTTATCATGGCTCCAGAGGCCGACTATTCTGTAGCCGTATGGATGATTTTCTCTGCTGCGTGCATTATGACTTTAGAACCTCTGAACCTCTTTATAACCTTGACAAGTTTCTGAACTATGTATAAGAAGTGTATCCACTTTATTTCTTTAATTTTTTATAATATATTTTTATTTTATGCTGACTGTTTGCTGAAGATCATTTAAGATTCGTTTATAGGTCGTCACAATTGATTGATCACTGGGTGGTGATCAATCTCATGCTTGTCTAGTCCTTGTTAGTGCAGATCGAATGCTATGGATCATGTTGCAATGTGGCCACCAGTCTAGGTGACTCGACACTGCGGGCACTATGTAATGAGATTAGATGGCGGTTGGAGGTAGTCAACAGGAAACCCTGGACCCGGGTTTCGTGCTACTTGGTACTCGTCAGCAAGGTGTACCTGTAATCTTGAGGGAACTGGTGCTCCCTGGCGGATTCGATCTCGTGTCACCCAGCTTCACAGTCAGAGACGTTACCACTGAGCTATCCGAGCCGTGACTAACCTCCTGTAGAACTGAGATGTAATCACAATTGATTGATCACTGGGTGGTGATCAATGTCATGCTTGTCTAGTCTTTAATAGTGCAGGTCGAATGCTATCGATCATGTTTATAGGTCGTCCATAAACTATAATCTTGCCATTAACAGTTTTCGTGAATGTAAACCCTAAATTCCAACAAGTAGAACATTTCAGTTTTCAGTATCAAAATGGTGTCAGTAAAGAAACTAAAAAAAGTTATTTTAATTTTATGAACCACTATTCATAAATTAATATATTTGAATATCGAAAATATAATTCTGTACTTGGTTTATTGTATAGTGTGTTAAAATAAACTGCTAAGTTACTAAGAACTTTATGATATTTCATGATTTTACATTTAACTAGTAAAACAGTTCCTTTATATTAAATCCAAGTGTACTCTGACCTACGGGGGTAATATAAGCATCATAATGATAGTATTTCAATCACATATCCATTTAAACATTCCTTAATTAGGTTAGAAATGTTTACAACATTGATGGATCGTCAGATTTCTAGACAATAAATGCATTAATTGTTGAAATGAGTACACACGTTTTCAAAAGAATATCATATTCAGTCATTAGCGCAACGTTTACATTGTCTATAAATAAATAATCTAATAACGTAAACGTAATGACTCATTCTAAATATATTTTACCCTTTTATAAACAATTTTAAGAAGATTAATAAGTTTCAGGACAATCGCAAGAAAAAGAACTAAAGTATGTAATAAATTAACTTGATATTGTTTAATTGAATCTACCCATTGATGTTTAGAACTGCAGGTACCTTCTACCTGAAGTTTGTGCTGCTGATGATGTCGTTCAGAAGAACAATGAAAGCTCCACGACTAAAACATTCAGCTCAGAGAACAAAACTTCATCAAAATCATTCGCCCGAGCTACATATCTTCTCCACTATCCATCTTTGTTTAGAATGCTTGTGAATTAGGGCAATATCAAGGCAATACTCACAGTATGCACATATGCCAATAAGATACTGATAAATTACAGTCTTAAACATCTATGGAAAAATTTAAGTAAACAATACCCAGTGAATTTAAATTTCAATTCAGTGCACAACTAATTAACCACCAGGACGCAGCAGCTCAGTTAATAACGTGATGGCGTTTGAAGCCGTACTGGGTTCGAGTCCCAACGTGAATATCAACTGTGAGATGCAAGTACGTTCAGCTGACGAATCTCAAATAGGCTGAAACGCGCCACTGTCCATCTTTGCATGCAAAGCAAGTACTGACTAAAAAATTAGGATTGTTTTGTACTTGGGATTATTTTTTCCACGTTGATTAACACAATAACTGACCTTAATCTTCAGTGAACATCTGATTTCCACAATAAAGAGATACAGACTTTTAACTTCTCTTTCAGATATCTTTCAATCAGCTATTAAAAAGTCCCAGTTCTATCATAAACTATACATAAAAAATTTAATCGTCTGGATATTAGTTAACTTCGGTCTCCATTCTTTGACCGAGCAGTTTATTTACATAACCTTTATTGATAACGTTATCTGTACACTCATTTAACTAACTCTTTAAAACAATTTCTCTTTTATACAAATTTTTCCAATTCCGCCTGTAGTCCCTCCGGGGGCTACTGCCTGTTTAAGCCCGGATAAAGAAGGAGGGTTGGGCATGAGTTTAGCGACCCCATCTCGTAGAAACCTAACTCGCTAAAAATACGCTAACCAGAAAAATAAACAAATTTTTCTAAGAGTAGTGAATAGATCTAATCTATTTAAAAATGAATTAACTTACTTGTACATGCTCTAGTCTATTAGTCAATTGATTGATCCAATAAGCTTCTTTAGCTGCGTTAATTTTAGCGGATCTTATCAAATCCATATTTATATGATTCGGTTGAATGGTTTTCAAGATAGCATTTGTTCTTTGTCTACAGTCTTCAAGTGCACGTGATCGAGCTAATACACCGGTCCTATAAGATTAAATAAATATTTACTAAAAATACTAGTCAACTGACAATATTAAGAAAAGATAAAAATGTTTTCTACTAAAAAAATATTGGTGTGGCTGTAATTTATGGACGACTTTTGAGCGATACTAAAGTGACTTTGAGAATGTCCACCTACAAACTCGGACTAAATGAGGGTTATAAACCAGTGTGGAGAATTAGAATTATGATAGACAGTTGATAGTTAGGGTTAGAGATTCAATTTAAGGTTTTCATCACGAACTGACATCAACTATAATACCAAAGCGTTATTTCATCAAATGCATGAATGAATTTCGCGCCAACATCCAACACTCGATATCTTATATCTGATCAGTTCATCCATAAATTATAGTTTCGCCAGTCATAAATTTAGAGTATATTTACAAAATCTAAAATGTATAGGAATAAAGGTACGTTTATTTGGTAGTGTTTGGTTTCATTAACATTAAAAACTAAGGAATTAACCGATCATTTTCTTGATGCGTCCTTTAGTTTAATTTATCCATGTTACACATTTATTACATTGATATCTAAGCTTTGAATAATTTTGTACGTAAATCACTGTGATTATTCAGTCATTTCAATGGTTTCACAATATTAACCCTATTATGATTGATGAACATATGGATATATACAAATATTCGTCAAGATTAGAATGAATAGTTTGACAAAAATTGGGCACCAAGTATAGACAATTCACTATATATGACAGTGTGTATTTGAAATAATCTCAGTGATTGAAATTTAGATAATTCCAACGTTTCCTTCAGCAAACTTGTTTGAACTTGTCTGAACCCTAAAGAAGTCCAGACCTCTTATTTGTATTTTCAAACAATCATCTAAGATAAAATCATTATTTAAGAGGTTGTTTCTTAGACTTGTTTTCTTTCTTTTTGAGTTGGGTTATTATAAAAGTTTATTATTTTCCTTACCCTCACTTCCTTTTAGCCTTAATTAATAAGATTTTTCTTGTTGTTTCCTTTTTCAAATATTCTTTAAAACTCTTGGGAATAGTTTATTAGTTGGATCGTTCTATAAGCTCATTAACTATATCTGTCAGCTGTAACATTAAAAAAAAATTATATTCTTGATTTTAATTTATGAGTTTGAGCAGCTTTTGTAAGAAGCGGGAATTTTCATAGTTAAACGTTATTATAAGAAGAGAATGTTTCAGAATCACATTCACAAAAACAATGAAACATTGTGTTTATATTATTCATTTGTTGAATTTAATTAATACGAGTTAGCGAACAGATTCTTTGATGTAATTCCTTTACACTGCTGATAGTTCAAAGCTTAGTTTACGTTTATTAAATGAAAGCTTTAGCTACAACCTGTATCATGAAGCAATTGAAGGAAACGTTGAATTACATGGACTGAATATTTAAAAAGAAAATGAATTCATTACTGATTATTTGGACTTTTTTGTTGATCACCACTTTCTGGAAGTTGCCTCTAGTTACATCTTGAATTTTCAAAAACCATATTTTTTACATATTTACATACGTAACATACATCTGAGTGTTCACTGGATCGAGATTATATATATATATATATATATATATATATATATATAGGCTCTTATCACTTTGAAGATTTTCAGTTTACGTTATTGACAGTCATGAAAAAAGCCTTTAGCTCATCCCACTCTCTACAATAATCCACACTTTTAAATAAATAATTATTCAGACTTAATATTAATATAATAAATATGCAAATGATTGATCACTGAGTAGTGACCAATATAATATTGATCCACTCCTTTTAGTAATGATCGATTTCTGATCGATCATGTTGTAATATAACCACTAGTTTAAGTGATTTGATAATACATATAATTTGTTGAGATGTTAGATTGTTGAAGGTAATTTACAGAGAACCCTGTTATCAGTAAGTCGCACCAGTTGTCTTAAGAGTTTCCAGTCAATTACCTCCAGACAAGCGAACTGTCAACAGAAAGTCTGTTTGAATCACTTTCGAAATGATAGCTTTGTAAATTCTGCTGAACAGCGTTAACGTTAAAAACAATATCCAATTACAGCTTGAATATTAGTTAAATACAATGAGTGTCTATCAATCAATCAAAATTAAAGTTAACAGATTTTATGTCACTTCTGACTAATAAAAGCCGGTTTTGTGCTTTTCTTCTAAGTTAACTTTCATTAAGTTATCGTATCTTGTATATTAGTTTTCTGACACTATACTTAAATTCAGTAATCATTGTGTCATATACCATGATATATGACAAACACACGTTAGTTTGACTTGTGAAACTTTAGCTTTGCTATACTGGAGTTATTTGTGAGTAAACTTGAGCTAGTTCCCTAATATCCGTGACAAGGTGAAATTTCTCATCTCCGTTTTCCAATATTTAAGGAAAGTGAAAATCCTTGAATCTAGAGATCGGATTCAAATTTCATTGATAAATACAGAACAATACATTCTGTGGTATAGTTCTTCTGTCTGTTTTTGAAACATAAGTAATCCATTCATCTGGCATTTACTTTAAACCGTTGAAAGTAACATAGTGATTCACATTCATAACTTCAATCAGGTTGTAGCTTAGTAAGTGAGTGCTTCACATCTGTTTTAGATGAGCTTAATCAATTACAACATCTCACCAAAACTTAATATATTCGTCCGGGAACCAGTAAACAGTCAGTAAATTCAATAAATCTGCATAAACCTATTATTTTGATGAAAATATGTTTATCTGAAGATAATTCTAAATAGTGGCGTGTCTTTTATGAAACATGAATATACAATCATATTTTAAGTTGGGTGTACTTACTTCTGAGAATACAGAAACTGAAAAAAAGCAGTCTACTTCCCACCATATGATAAACCCTAGTTAAAACAATCTTCATATTTTATTGTGACTAGTACTTATTGCAAATTACGCAATTCTGTAAGTGTTATCTACAGAGAAATAAAGAGTAATCTTCACTTTATTTTTTTCTCTATTTGATAAACAAAGTATAAACAACCACATGAAGTGGTTGGTGAAAAAAAAGAACTTAACGCAAAACCTCCTTAAATTATAGTTACTGATTATTCTATTTATATTTATATCTAAATTGCTCGTTAGAAAAAGAAAACGATTAAAGTGCTTATAAGTTTTGTCATAGTCAGTATCATCTAGTTTAACATCAAATGCTCATTAGGTATTATGTATATTATTTCATTAGTGTTATATCTTCTGTTTGTATATATGTATATACAGAGAGAGAAAGAGGGAGAGAGAGGGAGGGAAGAAGATGTAAATACCAGTTAGTGTTATCGTTTTTTGTGTATGCATTTCCAATGGATTCCGGTAGACATTATTTAAATCCAGTGTATTGTTTGTTTGTTTTGTATTTTTTTTGCAAAAGGAAGATGCTTATCTATTAGGTAATAAATTGTTTCACTTATTTGGGTTACTTTTAAGACCTGATAAAAATCTGTGTTAAAATTTAAAAATTCAGTATTGTCTAATTTTAGCTGAAGTAGAATCAGTTCCTTTAAGTGATTTAGCAATTATGATCAGAAGGGATGTTTTGTGGAGAATTTAGTAATTTCAATTGTGGAAATCATGAATCAATTGAAGTTAGACCATCATGGAAAACCTGAAAGAACTGGACAGTCGTTTCGACCTACTGAGGGACTCTTCAGCAGTGCGCATTCACTATCTTGTCTTGCAACACTCAAACCCAGAACCTATCAGTCTTGACCGAGAACGCTTAAGCACTATACCACTGAGACGGCTGGCATCCAACGTTGTTAATGTCTAACTCCAACTTGTCCAAGAAAGTGAGTGACATATTCACCACTGTCATCAGTGAGTTACTATTTCACAACTGATCCGGTTTAACTCCACTGTTCACTGCTTCTCAATAGAACTCCAGGATAAACCGTGGATATATCGTGGATGCACACTTTGAGGAGTCCCGCAATAGGATGAAACGGCCGTTTAGTGATTTCAGGTTTTCCATGGTGGTCTGGCTTCAATCGACTCATGATCTCAACAATTGAAATTTACAATTACACTTTATAATCATTCTATATCTATGTGAAATCTCATCACTTTAGTTAAAATCTATTTGACTTCACAAAACAATGGAATATGAATAGACTTCGATGGTTTATGATGAATATTTTTAATCAAACTAAAAAGGAGAGTAAATATGGTGTTTAGTAAAGTTTGTTAGTGATTATTCGTGGAATTCAGGATGAATGTTAAGTCTTGTTTGAAGTTCATCAGTTGGATGCACCTGGAGTTTCATTTAGGTATTCGGTATGTTGCAGGTACATTCAGCTAATGAGTCCTAAATGGTATTATTAGATAGGGGTAGTGAGACAAGTTATTGAAAATCCACTTATGCTAATAGAGGTAGTAGTCCTTAACTCTAACAGTAAGATACAAATCCTTAAAAACTAAATATGATTTATGTTATCCTTACAAACATTTTTTAAATTTTCTACTGAGTTAATGTAATCTAATAACAAACAGTTTTATAGCCTATATTTGAAACTGGACAGCAAAATGCAAAAATGCTCGCTTCAGGTACACTGCATTTGAAGGAATTATTGCCTTTGGTAAATTTGGATAGTGTAACAAGGAGACGAAGATTGTCAGAATTATTTATTAACTCATGTGACAAGATTGCTTTTAACAAGTCTGATGTGTCAGCGTTCAAACACATATTTATCAGCCACTTCCAATCCCCTAGAAGTTCTCTATTTTAAAACCTCGAGCAGGGTCAGAAAGCTTTATTTCGAAGGTTAGAGTAAAAAATGAAAATGAGGGTGTTTACTAGATTGCATCTGATTTGGATAACTGTCAGATTAATATGAAGAAGGGATAACCAAAAGCTTGTTTGTATTTCTCTTGGAACTTTCCAAAAAACGCAATCAAATTATCCTTAAACTTTTCCTGAAATCTGAACACTTTCAGGCAGCTACTAAGGGGTATTAAGTAGTTTACTGAAATAAGGTCGTCATTA